CACTTGAAGTGAAAGATGAGGGTCCTTCAGATGAGACCTGAAAAACCTAGGTCCCGTGTAACGACAGGCGTTGGCACGATAAATTTCCCTCACTACTCCATGGCCCTAAGTGCCAAGTAAAGGTCAAAATTTGAAGCCCTTAACCTGTATATGGTGATGTCTCTATATGAGTGAAAAATCCTTTAATGAAACGTAAAATAACATACAATCAATCAATCTATGATCGATAGAATGCCTAGATAGTTGATATCATCTATTATGAAGTCTATTGCTGTAAAAAAAAATGTTCACAATATTGTTCGGCCTTTTTACACATTAAATTGATAGCGTTTTTTTTCTTTTGCCCGATCCTCTAAAATAGCACTTTTTATAAGTAAGCAAATAGCTGGACGTGTTTTGTTGAAAGGTAATGCTTAATCCTTAATGGTATCTGAGTCAACATCTGAAGTTTTTGAAGCCTTTGCTGTCGATTTTTTTCGTTTTGTAGGACCTCTGAGCTTGCGTAATGTTCGTTTTCTTTACATTTTTTGATATGTCTCCCTTTTAATATTTAATTAGCTTAAATAATTGCTTCTTCTGCAGAAAGGATTGAATGCAGAGTTCACGTTTAATTTCATATTTGAACAAAACTAGCGAATTATAATTATCAGCTTCGTAAGGTAAGAGTTGAAGTATGACGGCCAGTTAAAAGGGCTGTTTACTCCTCTGATGTACATAGAATTTCCTGGGTTCTCGTTGAAGCCCTGTTCTACGGAAGCCCTGGAAGGACATTGACTTACTTTTTATGACTTTTTCTTTATAGCTTTTTTGTTGTTACTCATTTGTCATGGATTTTCTGTTTCTTTTTGATTGATGGATTGAATATTGTTTAACGTCCCTCTCAAGAATTTTTCACTTATTTGGAGACGTCACCGTTTGCCGGTGAAGGGCTTCAAATTTAGACCTATATTCGGCACTCAGGCCCATTAAGCATTGAGGTTTCTTTATCGTGCCAACGCCTACCGTGAAACGGGACCTGCCTTTTAAGGTCATATCCGAAAGACCCGTGACTTTCACGTATAGTGCAGAGCGCTTGGCGAAGGAACAGTCTCTACCTTTGTTTACGTCTTAGGTATGACGGTGCGCCGCGAACGAGAATCAAACCCGGGCCTCCAGATCATGAAGCGAACGCTCTACCACTACGCTACCTTGTTCGGTTGTTTCTTTTCAAATTAAATGTAACGTTGTTATAGAAAATGTTTGGCTCGTCCAAATATTTCAGTCCATGATTGACTGTGGTTTTTGATTGGTACTATTTCATCTTCCTTTGTTATAAATTCAAAAGCAAAATATTAATTTCTTCTTTTCACACGTAGTCTCCCTCTCGTACGCCACGTCTCTGGGTTAAGTAAACGTATAATAATCAAATTAAAAGAACAAGAATTAACAATTAAGAAACTAACACAAAACACCTTAGAAGTAAGTCATTTACCCGGGGGGGGGGGGGGTTCTGTACGATTTTCATATATTTGTATGGTTAAAAGTTTTCCTGAGATCGATCTCTGTTTTTTGTTTTCGTTTCTTATTCTATTATACCAACCAATTTTCCTTACAATGGACATGTTTTTGTATAACATATTTCTTATTTGATGGTAAACTAATATGATAGTAAAACTAAAATGGGATCTTGCTCATTAGTCCGTTTGTAAAAATAAAACTTGTAAGCATTACACATGAGGGATAACTCAAGTACCATAAAGGGAAACGCACCCTTTGCGACAGACTTCCCTAACAATTCAAACGATGATACGTGTTAACAAATTGCCATACCATTTTAATGAAAGACTGTGGCAGCAGATCGCATTTGCAGAAAGGTTGTTGAATGAATCATAAATGTTCGTAATGTTGACTTTAATTTCTGATATCCTTGTACATGTATCAACAACTTCTAGGTACTTTAGGATGTTTTGCTTAAGTTCGTTCTCTTATCTAATAAATCTGTAAATATAACCTCATTAAGGATGTAACAATGAACGTTGCTAAATAATTAAAGGAAGTTAAAAACTGATGTCTCCAAATTTATCATACAGATAATGAGTTAAGAACCCCCTGTACACTGCACACTAAAGAGGTTTTATTTTATGGTATTTTTCTGCAGTGAGAATGATCTGACCTTAGATCTAAATTGCAAAAAATAGAAGTTTACAGTACATACTTTTGTAATCAATTAAAATATTTTTAACATAATAGAAGGCAAAGAAAAATAAATTGAAAACATAAGTTACATCTGTTTTCTAAATGGAAGTAAACAGCAGTGGTTAATGTCACGTACCATATTTTGAAAACTAAATAGATTAGCTCAGTATTTGCACTTGCATTCAATATAATTTTCTCAATGTTCAAAACATTTCACACTAATGTAGAGAGGTTCATGAAATATTTTAACTGCTGCAAATGCCCTTAACTAGTAAAATATTGAAATATGAAAAAAAAAACTACCGTCTTTGTTGTCCCGTTTTCTTTATTTTTCTGTTGTTTCCCGCCCATGACAAGGAGCACACTGCGAGAGTGACCTGTCGGCAGGGGATGCTCACTCCTCCATGGGACCTGATCCCAATCTTTTATGTTTTGGAGGTCCGTGTTTGTTCTGCTCCTGTTTTGTATTGTTTTATGGACTTTGATATTGGATACTGTTCGTTATCTCCATATCCTTTATTCTGTATGGTGTTCAAATCAAAAGTAATGATTCAAACATTAAAATGTCTTAAATTATATATCTTGATGTCCAGTTTAAGACTATAAAATTTGCCTGTTTTTTTTAATAAAATCAAGAACCAACTATGCTAACGAAAGAACTTTTAAAATGAGGGTAAATTAAAGATGCGTTAATAAATAAGAAGACGAAACTTTCAAAATGACAACTATAAAACCTTGATCTATATATAGAACAAATGTATTCAGAAAATAACATTATTGTATTTAGGGCTTTGCTTTTTTCTCATTCAGCTAAAGCCAAACGGAAGTGTTTACCGAATGGAATGTGGTACGTACACCCCTTCTTCAACCAGACATGGACAGACTTCACTGACTGTCAGAATAAAGAAGATTCACGTGGTACCAATGGAACTTTAATGGTACTCATATTTCCGGATATAGAAAATAAATATTCTTGCAGCATGTTTCACTCTAAATTCAAGATAGACTTTTTTATCAATCGAGATGTATGAATATTAATGACTACACGAATGAAAATGACACTGTTATTTAATATGTTTTGTTTTAATATAGCGCCATCTCCCGGTGATAGATACATTCTCATTCGTAGGATATAGTATGTCCCTGGTATGCCTTCTTGTCGCTGTTGCTTTATTGATTGGATTCAGGTGAGCAAAACAGAAAATACCTTCGTTTAAAAAAGTAAGTGTTTAACAATATTATATGCAGATAGTGTTAATAGAAATATAATCCAAACGATTTTAGATAAATAGGATTACTTTTGGATTTCAATATGAAAATACAAGTCATCATGTTTGTTAACTTGTTTTTTTATGTGATCTTGACAAAACTTAAAGCGAAAATAGCAGGGTTTGTAAACAGTCAATCAACACCGATTCATGGCAATATTGGCAATATTGGCATAAATCTCCTAAGCATGAATTAGGAAAAAAATACTGATTTGTCTTATCTTCATTATACTTGCTGGCATGTGAACATGATCGTTCACTGTCAAAATGTTTCTTCATTCAAAAATTTTCTTAATACTTGTTTTGTAGGCAGATTTTTAACATTCATAGCACGTAATACGGTCAAATTTGAAATGCTCATAATATTTTTGTAGATGAAATTAAACTAATTAAAATGATTAGAAAATAACGGAAAAAATCCGTCGTCAATTCAGTGAATAATTAATGGACTAACAATTGGTATGAAAAACGTCGGTCAGCATTTGACTCAATGATAAATTGTATTTGCTGACAAGGTCATTGTGTCAGCCATAGAACTTACAAATGATGACTTCAAACGAGACTGCTGATATTCTTGTTTCGTCAACTTGCTTGTCAATAATTTACTTCGTTTTAGAAATTGTTCATACGTAGAGCATGCTCTTGTGTATCGAATCAACTGAGAGATATATATATACTCCGTATGCAGGTGATGAAGGCATATTGCTGCATAAGTAAGGGAAGTTGACGATAGTAAAGTGAAAGTCATCACGTTTATCATATAGCTTGGTTGTTAGAATACCATTAGTGTCTTTATCAAGTAAAATATCCATGTATGAAACAGAAGTGTCGGACTCTGTGGTATCTTTTATCTCAAGCTAACCAGGATATATTGTATCGACGTAGGAATTGAAATTACCATTATTAATTGACAATACGTCGTCGATATATCTAAATGTCGAGTTGAAGGCCACAGCAAGTGTTTTATTCTTTTCACGCATAAGATTCTGCATAAATTCTGCTACATATGAAAATAAAAATAATTTGTACCCATGGGAATTCCAATGGATTGTTGGAATACCTGGTCTCCAAAAACCACATAGATATTGTCAATCAGGAACTCAAGCATCTTCTTAATGTCAACTTCAGAGTACTTATGTGTGAAATCAGAATCTGTTTTAACAAAATAATTTTGCAAATGACCAATGACGAGGTAAATAAATTTACGAGTTCCATTTTATTGAAAAAGCAACTGTCAATGAAATCAGAAAGCCTGGATTTTAATTTGTCGTGGGGAATTGTTGTGTATAAACTTGAAAAGTCGTAAGTTTTTAAGTTGTTGATTTTTTCCAAGTCCTGTGATTTAAAAATTGACCAAAAGTTCTTTAGAATTTTTTAGTATCCACATCTGATTCACACCACTTCTTGAATATATTGTTGCACAGTACTCTTGAAGTTTTTCCTTGACTGCTGTCAATATCTTAGTGAGGAGTAACGAAAGAGGCTTGGTTCAACATTTACTGGAACCTGCAATGTATCTTTGTTTGTAAGGATTCTTATGAAGTTTCGGAATCCAATATATATAAGGTAGTTCAAATTCATTTTGGCTCTGTGGAATATTAAAAGTATTCAAAACTGACAGATGATTTTGAAAAATTTCTTCCTTAGAAAGGGAAGTATGAGTATAAGTAGGATTACCAGTTGTAGAATTAAATTCAAGTTCTTCTAGAATGCAATTTATATAATGAGCCTTACAAACGAAGACAATGTTGTTACCTACTTTGTCGGCAGGAACCAGTCGTACTGATCGTGTAATCTATCTAATTCTCTTTTCGCTTCTGGTTTATTGAATACAGACGGATAGATGGTTTTCATGTTGCTCCTCAATCTTTTAATACGTGACTTTAACAGGGATAATATACTAACAATTGATATGAAAAACTTCAGTCAGTATTTGAGTCAATGATAAAATGTATTTGCTGACATGTTCATTGTATTGACCATGGAATTGTTAAAGTTTACACACCACGCAGAACCTTGTTCTAAGAAGGTAAAGATTATATGGACAACATTCAATAAATGGAAGTGCCTGCAAAAATCGATGGAATTTGATCTCTGTACACATTAGAGATTAATTCATATTGTCATTTTCATTTAAGTTCAAGCCTAAGGATAATAATAGCAATATGCTTTGGATGCACTTTGCCTAAATAGTAGTTATGATTTGACAAAAAGTGCACTTTCTGCATTCTGTCTGCAAAGCACTGCATTTATATAACAAAGCATGAGAAGGAAACAAAACAAATGTATTCTATTAATCATTGTAGATATAATGCAAGAGAATAAGAAATGATAATGAAATTATCAGTTTAATGTGATTTCCTGCTACCGCGATAACAAACATATTCGCTTAATCAATACGGACCAGAAAAGGAATCAACAAGGAATTTCATATATTACATGTATTGCTCTATGATGCACATGTTAAATGTTAAGAAGCTTATTACTTTGTTACTTCCAGGAGGTTGCACTGCCAAAGGAACCTGATTCACATAAACTTATTCGTTTCGTTTATTCTGCGATCCATAATCTGTCTTGTTAAGGATGTTTTCCACACACCAAAAGGACGTTCATCCGTAATAAACAACAAAGCAACACTCACTTCTCAAGGAACGGTAACTCATTGATCTTCGTCATTGGTTATATAACAATGTCATTTAAATTTCTTTTCTCCAATTTTTTTTAGTTTGAAAGAACGACATAATAAGAACAAAATGTATAAAATTACAGTGACGAGAGCGTTTTCCAGATAAAAAAAAACATGAAAAAAAGTGAAATTACCGAACAGTGAACCTCTCAAGAAATCAATAAAAATACATATCGTTGAGGAGGGATTCATGATAATACCCATTTATTTTCTTGATAATAAAGATAAAAAAAGGTGGAGATCATCAATACTGTGTCATCTATAAGACAATTACAATTAATGCAAATCTATAGAAAAGAAATAATTAAGGAATGTCTTTGTGTGAGTTATTGGTGTGTAAATCAAACAGACTTGTCAAATAGGCATATTTCATGAAGGGCGCTATGCGGAACGATTTCGCTTTGTTATAAGCATAATTCGCTGTATCCGTTTTAATTTCATGTAAAATTTCTTTCAAATGTTAAGTTTTACTCACTTCAATTTAATTTTTTTTTTACTTTCTTATACTGTGTTAAACACATTTTGTAAGCATAAATTTTAACATCCTAGTTTACTTAATGGCTATTTTTTGAAACATGTTTGAAAATGTTTCCCTTTCATGATCTTTTTATTTTTAATAAGAATTTCTTATGAATTCATTAGAACTGGTCCTGTAAGCTGGTCTTTACATTATTTAACTACATTCTATTGGCCAACTACACGTGGATCTTAATGGAAGGGTTGTATCTCAACAGTCTCATTTTTCTGTCAACCTTCAAAAAGAGCAGAAGATTTTATCTGTACATCATTACGGGATGGTGTGAGTATTGCTTGCTATTTAATGGATTTTTTTTAAATCACTTGTATTTCAATAGAATGCAAGGCCAACATCTCATGGAGGAAGCCATATTTTAGCATTTTTCTATAAGCCTAGTATGGACAACAGCTACAGTCGATGAGGAAATAAAATAAGGGACTCCATAATGTTTCCGATTTGTATGCTGGATGTTTAAAGCAATTATGAGATAGATAATTTGCAAAGAAGGTCGCCTTTATCGCGAACATAGCAAGGTCATATAGGACTTGTTTATTTTCTCAATACTGTCACGTAAAGACATTTTGTGAAAGCCCAGAAACATTAAGTTAGAAAAGGGTTGACAATATCATTTTAAACCGAATTCCTTGGCAGCTTTATTTTCTATCTTAACACTTTTAATAAATGTTATATTTAAAAAACTCATGAGATATAAATTCTCTCAAATTATCTAGTAAAGAAATCAATTTTTAGCTGAGAAATATCAGCGTCAAAGAAATATTTTTTTTTAATATAAAATAATATTTAAAATGTCTAATATACCAAATACAATGTCCGAGCTTTCTGTGAAGTACATTTTGAGTGCTATTATTACATTCCTTTGACTGATTTTCCTTTTTTAAAGTGTTACCTGTCATTTTTGTGATACCCTGGATACTGGTCAGAAGATATCTTGAAGATACAATGTAAGGACGTTTATATTATAAACAATGCACACGAAAGTTTTTTTTCACTTCCAATTCTTACAGTAAGCATTCCTGTTTTCGAATGCTTCCTTCTTCTTTGTCTACAAACTAAAAAAATAGTTGTGACAATTTAAAGAGGTTTAATTTGTTTTTAGATTTATTGAGAAAAATAAATGTTTCACGAAGCTGTACACGTCGTATATACATAAATAATTCTGTAACGGTATTAATATGATAAAATGTAAAAGCTGTGATAACACATGTGAGTAAAAATTGATACCTGCGTTTCTACTCTTTTGTAGGGAAAAGTAATAACGTTTTGCGAAGTTTTTGTTCATAGATAATTAAATGACCATTAATCAATTGATTACGTCATCATTCACCCAAATATTTCTGTTTGGCCTGCAAAAGAGTACAATAGCAGTTATTGCAAAAGGGTCTATTGCATAAATTACATATAATTACATATAATTAGGGATAATAAAGTAACTATTATTTTTCAGTTCTCAAGTATAGTTTTAAATTAAGTACTAATATGAGAATTTGAAAATGTTTTCATAAATATTTTTTCGGATAAAATTGATTACATACTTATATAGATAATAGAATATAGGACTGTACCGCATCATTGCTATAATTATATGTTTTGAAGGTGTTGGAGTACTCACAACGCCGAAAACAAGTTTGTTTGGTTCATCCGGGGACCCATTGTAGCCACTATTGTGGTAATTTTTTTATTCTTCTTTTCTTAAAGGAATTTAAAGAAATTTAATTTTGTCACCTCCTTTTGATTTTCCTCCGTGAATTATAATTGAAGGAATGGGTACAAGTCTTTATCCTAGATATTTGACTGAATTCAAAGTGATACACTGTAACTAAATTTTTTAAGGATTTTTTACGTTTACATGTAATTCTTTGCAACCAAAAGTTTATAACATGATGTATTAAATATATTATCTATTTCAGATTAATTTCATATTCTTCATAAACATTATACGTGTTATTTTCACGAAGCTAAAAGCATCCCATGCTAATGATTGTGACCGGTATAGGTAAATTTTGTTATATATTATATGATATCATACAAGATCACTTCGTCACCAACAAGATTTGGATAACAATGGCGACACGACTTAAAAAATAATGATAATTCATATGGCAAGTCAAGCGTTGCAATATTCGATCTTTACGTTTTGTATTGTAAAATTTTCCATTTGTATTGTAATTTTTATTTGTATTTTATAATTTTCCATTTATATTCTATAATTTTCCATTTGTTTTGTATGATTTTTCATTGTATTTTTTTTATTTGCATTGTATAATTTTCATTTGCATTTTATAATTTTTCTTTTATATTGTAAATAATCATCTGTATTGTTTAATTTTTTGTTTGCATTCTATATTTGCATTGTAATGGAAAATTATTGAATACAAATAGAAAATTATATAATGCAAGTAAAAAATCATAAGTGGAAAATTTTACAATACAAATGGAAAAGATCGAATATTGCAACGTTTAACTTGCCATACTTTCATGTTATTTTGTATATATGTTTTTCCTATTATAGTTTATTTCATAATTATTACGAAAAACATCGAATATACTTGGCTCTAGCATAAAAAAAAAACGAAATAACTTTAAAATTTCTTCTGTTTAATTACTCCTTGAAAATAAGTAGTTAGCTTTTTTTGTTAAAAATGCTGTTTTGGGTTTCTAATGCAATCGGAATCATATAGTTGTATAACTTGATTGAGATTCCTTTTCAAATATAAGCTATATGTTCTATATTTATTGCTTATACAGAAAACTAGCCCGCTCCACCCTAGTCCTAATCCCCCTGTTCGGTGTGTACTATATGATATCTGTTGTCATGCCGGAATGTATGGACCCAAGTGTGGAACTCATCTGGTTGTATGTTGAAAGTGGTGTTAACTCATTTCAGGTAAGTATAAACAGTGTAAAGAACTTATCTGGTTACATGTAGAGAGCGGAGTCAGCTAATAGCAGGTTCACAGGAAATATAAATCCAAATTCAATGTGTTTGCTTGTATATTGTGAAGAAAACCAGCAGAATGATATCATCTAAGATAAATCAGCATTCTTGTTTCAAATCATCATTTCGTAAGTTCTATGATCGATACAATGACCTTGTCAGCATATACAATTTATTACTGAGTAATACCAGTCAATGATTTACACACTGAATTGACGACAGTTTTTTCCGTTATTTCCCGATCCTAACAAATAGCACATGGCAGTTGTGACCGGTCGGTAGGGGATGCTTACTCCTCCATGGCACCTGATCCCAATTCAGGTTCACCTCTGTGTTTCCTCCTATTTTTCATTGTTTTATGGACTTTAATTTGATCTTGAATACTGTTCGATCATATCTCAAAATATTTGACGAAGCTACACACCGAAATGTGCTACTAAACAACGTACATTAAGGTACAAGTCGTAAGATTGTGTTTACATCTTTGTAGGGGTTCTTTTTGCCAGCTGTTGAGAGTGGATTTAAAACAAATCAAGAGTATCTGAAACTTTTCTGATCTGAAGAGGCCTATTAACTTCAGCCTATTACAGATCGTAAAGTGTATTGAATTTGTCTCGCTTTAAGTACTATTTAAAATTAATTTCAATTGCAGGGGTTTCTCGTCGCACTGCTCTTCTGCTTTCTAAATGTAGAAGTAAGTAAATGTTTTCTGCTTCTTTAAAATTGGTTTCTTTTCTGATACATATATCAGCTGTCCTTTTTCGGCAAAGAAATATGATTTACAATGGGAAAAAACACTCTTCAGAAAAAAATTCCCATTTGTTGCCAGGTTTTTAAAACTTACCTAAACTATTTAATGACTTTATCTTAGGTTCAGCAGGAAATACGCAAGGAATGGAACCGAAAGTGGGTCGATGGTCAGCTGAATAATACTTCCATAAAATCTAATAAAGCGCTGTCAATAGGCGCCATTGTGAGGAAGAAAAACTTATCGTCTGCCATATTAGCAAACGAAACATACAAAAGTAAAGGAAAATGTCTCAAACAGGACATAAATCTTACTAATGACTGTGAAAAATATGATAAAGAATTCAAATTTCCTGAATTGGAAACAAAAGAAGAGGACGACAGATTGTTATATGGCACTTAATTCGAAATACGAAAACGGACAGGAAATCTTATTATTATTTTTTATACAACTCTTCATTGAAATTATATAAAGGACATTTTTACATCTTCCCATTTTTTCTTGAAATTGTTTTATTCCTATCAAGTATCAGGGTGTCTGTAAAAATAAATATTGAAGGAAGAAATTCTATTAATATACCCTTATTCTTACTTTTAAAAAATGCTTTCCTGACTAAGGAATATATATGTACATGTTAGTACTTCAAATTAAATTATAAGCTTCCAACCCCCTTACAAGGACCAATAGTCTTTTTGAAATATTTGAAATTTCTATCAGAACTTTTTACCCGATTTTTCGTATAAACATCATCAGGCAAAAAAAGAATTCTTGAAATCATAGAGTTCCCGAATGAAAGCTTATGGCCTTTGACTTGATTATATTATTAAGTGATTCATGCTGTTCACTTTTAAACCGATGAGATCTTTAATTATCCAATGTGTCAACCTCATGTCTTTGGCTCGATTTGATTGATTCACAATTTCATGATGATGATCAAAATGACAATTCCAACAATGTTGAGTATGAATTTGTGTTACACATCAAGTATATTCGTTATAACTTTACCAGTTATGTTATATTTATAAAGAGTATTTAAATTAAGTATAAATTCAACAAGTGCAAACAGTATTCAAATCTACGGGCATATATTGGAGAACATAAAATGCAGAACACTCTTAAATCCAGAGTAAATATAGTGTGCATTACTTCAGCAATAGTGATGTTGAGAAGGATCAATTTCTTTATCTTTTAGACATTTTATCACATATGTTAAACGAACGATTAAAGAACTCGAATCCCTGACCACATTAAGAGTGGAAAAAATACAGATCTATAGAAAAAAAGTCCCAGGATCAGGTGCAATCGAGGATTAAGTATAAGCTGTCCATTGGTTACACCCGCTGTGAGCTCTTCGTCTTTATCTGCAAAAACAATGTAATCCTTGATAAATGAGTATTTAGAAATATCTCAAAAATAAGTTTTAGATAAAAAATCCGGAAACATTCGACCTTAACGACAGTTAGCTGAGGCGGTCATGTAACCGACTTCAGGACATGCAAAAATCTGGTGTAAATCGTATTAATGAGTAGGGTGTCAAGCGTAAAAAGTAAACGATCGGAAAACGCTAGCATATAAACTCAATTGGAAGATAAAACGATTAATGCAATATTGTCTAATAATACTTGTATAATAAAATACCAGAGAACAATAGGCTAAATTACTGATCAGAAGAGTTTGGCTAAAGAATGGTAGAGATCAATTAAGTCTAAGAAGTTATGATACAGAAATGGACTCATTTTATCCTCATGACTGTAACATGTCAAAAATAGAATAACAAATATTAACATGTAGCTTGAAATTGTTTTCAAAGATTTGTTTAATACCCTGATCCAAATTGTACACTTATTGTCAGTTTGCCTTTCTTATACAATAAGAATGATTTCTGAATGAAATTTCAATATTTGTCGAAAAATGATCAATGAACATAAACTAAATTATTTCAATAATGAAATATCTGGAGATAATTGGTAGTATTCACGCTCCAATATCCAATTTACAAATCTGGAGCGGAGCAAAAATGGACGTCTAAAACATCAGTGGTGGGATCAGATGCCGTGGAGGAGTGCGCATCCCCTAACCACCAGTCACACCCACCGTGTGCTCTTTGTCATGATCGGAAAATGACGGAAAAATCGGTCGGCAGTTCTATTAGAATTAAAAAAGTCAGTCAGCATTTGAATTAATTTTAGGTTGTACATCTAGCATAAAAATAAACAAAATAAAGACTCTTAATGAAACTGCAACTATTCTTGTTTCATCAACTTGTTTGTCAATAACATACCTCGTAGAAGTTAACCAAGCCTAGAATATGCTCTTGTGTATAGAATCAACTGAGAGATATAAACTCCATATGCAGTTGATAACGGTATATTGCTGCATAAGTAAGAGAATCTTTTGAATATCATACAATACAAAAAAGGTTCTATAAAAGAAAGCCGTACGAATCTAAGGTTAAGACCGTGGGAATTGAAATTATTCAATAATTATGTGTAAATCCACACAAACTATTAATCGAGATCTAGGTTAAATTGTTAGGATATTTTTTTTTTACATCTTTTTGAGTCTTCTGTCATGTAAAGCACGAAATGAGCATTTGATAAACGCTAATTGAAAAGGTGTCATTTGTAAGAGTTTCAAATGCACGCGCTTTCTTTTGATAAGCATGTCTTACATTAAAATTGTGATTTCTTATACGAGGCGTTTCAAATTTTATCATTGACAATAAAAAGCTGATTTCCTTGCTCTACTTTTGGGTGTATCAGAGACAGCAATATTGGTGTTGTTATACACATTCAAAAATACACTAAAGATAATGTTTGTGAAAATATTTGCTATTTAAGATTTAAAAAAAAAAGATGGTGAATTGATTTCTTTTTTATAGCTTATAGCAATAAGAAATACTTAGATGTATAACCAACCCCCATTCCCAAAAAAAAGAGAAACACTAGTATATCTATTATTTTTTAAAAAAATGAAGAAAATCATTCAAGCACTTTGCAAATTTGTAGCAACAATAACCAGGAAACGTGGTTTTCATAATATATAAAAGAGCTGGTATTAAAAAATGTAATTAAGTGCTCGTATACATATATAAATATAAACATAATAAATCTATATTAAAAACAGGGAATAGCTAATTTTTTAATGAGTGATTTACTTTTGAGTACTTAACTTTGATTTTTGTCAGCAAAAGAATATAAATTTTATATATAGAAGGAATTTGTGTTCTTTATTTACAAATGTCACATGATGTAAGTTTATCTAAAACAGTTTCTAAATTTCTGTAAATCTAAAGAGTCATGTAGTTTGATTTTTCCGTGCTACTTCATAAAAATCTCAGCTCTATCCCACTTCTCATAAGAGAAGTCTTAAATAACTCCTGACACATTTCTTTCCTAGACGATACACCACCACACACAATGCTGATTACGATTATTTTTAAGGCTGTAGTGGCAGAGATACATGACCTTCAGCAAAACACTCACATTTATGCCATATCTCAGCCACGTCAATCAAATGTTAGCAAGCGACTGAACGATACCGAGTTCTTACGATACATTTAACGAAAATATGCTTTAAAGGCTAACTATCTGATTTGTCACCATTGCTGGTTATTGGTACAAAATGAGATAAGTAAGACCAAGAAGAAAGTATTTGCTAACCACAACTAAGTTAATATAAAAACTAATATTAATTTTTAATTATATTCATTTCATATTTCATTTCAACAATATGTTATTTTTTCAAACTTAATTAATCGAAGTTGGTTGTGAAAAATCTGGAATTTGAAGCTAAAATTCAACAGTTCTTACAGCATTTAAATAAAAAAAAAGCTTTACAGAAGAATGTTTTGTTGTTTATTTATGAGTAAAAGATTGATGAGGACGCCTTTCAAAAATATTGCAGCACATGACTGTCTATGTGGTAAAAATACTTAAATTTCAAATTTTTACGTGTCTGACATGTTCATTTAAATTTTAAAAAATCCTTTTAATTTTGTTCATACTTTTAAATGACGAAATCGTTTTTGTAAATATATTTGTACAGCCTTTCATCAGTGTTCATCATTAAAAGCAGTTTCATAAGGATGAGCATAGAATTCCGATTTTATGCAAAACAAATGATAAATAACCCCAGTACACTCTATAAAACCTTTGGGTTTACCAGTAGAGCAAATGTATTGAGACACATCAATAACTAGTTACTTGAAGAAAATAATGCAGCATCTTTCAAAGTCTACAGCAGACAAGATATTTCCATGAAAAATTATTACTGCATTCATAAGAACTTAAAAATATCTTTACAATTTAAGGACATAAAACTCAATCCAAATTATGGAAATAAATACTCTTTTGTTTCCCAATATAATATTCCAATGGGAACCTAACGTATTTTAAAAAATCTGTTTGATATAGTTTTTTTTTTAAAATTATTTTGATAGATTCCGGGTGGAGATTTTAAAAATTGAATAATGTAATGGTGATGTCAATCAGTTTTGTTTCATCGACTCTGGTTGCCCAAGTGGCGCAGTGGTAAGAGCGTCTGACCTAGAGTCGCGACGAAGGGATCTTACGTCGCGGGTTCGAATACCACTGTCGATCGTGGAGAAAGGTTCTTCGGATGACACCGTATAAACCGAGGTCCCGTGTCGCAGTTGGTGCTGGCAAGAAAACGATTCCTCACTCCCCAATGGCCCTGAGTGCCGAGTATAGGACAAAATTTACAGCACTCCACCGTCAAGTGGTGGCTTCTCCATATGAGTGAAAAATTCTCGAGAGGGATGTTAAACAATATACATTGTACATTCAGTCAACAAATAATCAACTTTAATATCAATGCAGAGGGGAGGGGGCGCATTTGAAATACACGTAAGAAGTTGAAAAAGAGGGTTATACATGAAACATGGAATAAATGATAAAGTAAATGATCTTGGAATAATGTTTGGTAATTTTAAAGTTCGATAGTTCTCGCAAAATCAGGTCAAATTCTAAGGACAAGAGGAGTGATGTCAATGCAGTTTTGAGATTGTTTTGATAAAGACTTTCCATTCACAATTAAAATGATGAAATGTTAATAAAGCGATAACTGGTGACAAATGAATAATAATAAACTAAATGAATGAAAAATAGATTTTAGATATAATTTTAAAAAGTTATAGACTCTTTTTTCCATTTCTGAATTTTTTTCATTCTGGAAAAAATGTTATTGCAATGATATCTACGTAAGGTCTATATAGTGACGATTAGGTAAGATTTAAGTAGTTAAATCGTATGGTCTATATAGTGACGATCAGGTAAGATTTAAGTAGTTAAGCAACCGAAGGAATGAATATCAATCACATTTTATATGTACGTAAAGTAAGTTAATATGTTATTCCGGCAGGACCATATCGAAAGTTACAAAAATATGTAGAAACATCGAAAAAGGTTAACATACGGACCTCATTATATCTGAAAAATTTTGTCAGGTCTTTGTACAAAAGATACTCTTCTTAAATGGGTCTTGTTATTCATGCATTCCACAGATACATTTCTTATCTTAGAAGCAAAATAAATTGTGTTGATTATGAACGACGC